ACCACTGGTCGACCTCTTCAGATTATGAGGTCGACCGGATCTGTTTTGCACTCAATTGGTACCATCATTTGGCCCATTTTACGCTCGTTTTCATTTAGCCGAGGTCGACCTATGATGGTTCTGAGGTCGACCTATGAAGGCAAAAGTGCGAGTTAATGTCTCATTGTATTTCAAATTGTACGAAACTACCAATGGTCGACCTCTTCAGATTGTGAGGTCGACCGGATCTGTTTTGCACTCAAATGGTACCATCATTTGGCCCATTTTACGCTCGTTTTCATTTAGCCGAGGTCGACCTATGATGGTTCTGAGGTCGACCTATGAAGGCAAAATTGCGAGTTATTGTCTCATTGTATTTCAAATTGTGCGAAACTACCACTGGTCGACCGCTTCAGATTATGAGGTCGACCGGATCTGTTTTGTACTCAAATGGTACTATCATTTGGCCCATTTTATGCTCGTTTTCATTTAGCCGAGGTCGACCTATGATGTTTCTGAGGTCGACCTATGAAGGCAATTTTGTATTTGAATTGTTACGGGTTTATATCGACCCATTCTCGTTTTAAATTAGCTGAGGTCGACCTATGCTTCTTCTGAGGTCGACCTGTTCTCGTTTTAAACTAACTGAGGTCGACCTGTGTTTCTTCTGAGGTCGACCCATTGTCGTTTTAAATTAGTTGTGGTCGACCGCTTTATAGAGTGGTCGACCGCGTATTGTTCATTTCGAAATTTGGACTAACGTGTATTTGCGCTTGTTTGATCGCAGGATGTTTGGCGGCAAAAAGAAAAGAAAGGCACAAAAAGCTGCTGCTTCAAGTTCGGAATGGGAAGAGTTCAATTCGGATTTGTTCCAGTCGAAGGAGCAAAGTGATAACTACGAAGAGAAGAGCATGCACAACCGCAGGGTGGTTCCGGGAAGGCCATTGACGACGGATGCGTATTCTCATTTCGAGAATTACGGGTTTCTGGGACCCTTCGTCGATCAGGAGTGGTTGAAGGTGATATCACTCAATGTACCATACTACCCAAAAATGGTACAATACTTCTACAACAACATCTCCTACGAGCGCAATGCAAATGGATCCATTCACGCATTCAAATCCTATGTGAATGGGGTGGCGATGCGGATCAGCAAGAATGTGTTGGCGCAAGTACTGGAGGCTCCAAACGCGGGGAGGAGAATCAATTCTTACGGTGCTTGGAATGAAACGCATTACACGAGAGCCAAGCAAATCCAGACCGTATGTGGTCTTGATGAAGAGGAAGATGCTCAGGGGCGCAATAGGCCATCGAGTAACCACCTGACAGTTCAAGCCAGAGTTCTTCACCACATGCTTTCCTACAACATTCTGCCAAAGGGTGGACATCGGGAGACAGTCACCTACTTCGACATGGAGCTCCTCACCAGCCTGCTGTTAAACGAGAAGGTGAACTTGCCACACTTGATCTTTACCCACATGCTTACTGCTGCTGAGAGTTCAAACAGGAATCTTCCCTATGGGATGATTCTCACTGTGATATTTGAGCATTTTAATGTGAATTTAAGTGAAGAGGTGGGGTTATCGATCTCAAGGCAGGAGTTCTATACTGTTTCATCTCTGAAAAAGATAGGCTTTGAGCTGCGTAATGGTGAGTATGTCAGAGCAAACATTGCTCATGCTGGTGGTGGTGATGATGATGATGATGATGAGGATGATGATGGTGATCAAGGAGCTCGAGACGAGCCAATGGGGGAGGCACAGACTTCAACTCCACCGATCACCTTACAGCGTGTGTGGGAGCGCATGGATGGCATGTACGAGTACATGGGCCAGATGTCCACCCAGATGACTGGCATGTACGACTACATGGGGCAAATGAACGCCCAGATGAGCACAATGCAGCTGACCGTGAATGAGATGCGAGATGAGTGGCGATCTTTCAGCGGAAGATACATGCATCCCACCACATCTGACCACCATGCTACCACCACCAATGAAGAAAATGAAGAAAATGTGAATGAGGGAGAGGGGGGAGATGAGTAGTTTTTAGTTTTATTTGTTTAGTTTTATTTTTATGTTATTTTTTTAGTTTTATTTTTATGTGTGAACAATTATGCTATGATGGTTTTTTTAGTTTTATTTTTATGTCTGAACAATTATGCTATTTTATGTGTGTTTTATTTTTAGTTGTTATGCTATGGATTGATGAGTCCTTGTTATAATTGACTAATTATGATGGTTTGAAACATAATTTATACGATTAAATTAACCACACAAATCGACATACATAAGCAAAAAAGTCACGGGGCATAGGTTGACTTTCTTGTATTCGGTCGACCTCGTACCGGATTAGGTCGACCGAGAAACCAACACTTGATCTCCATTTTACGTCAAATGATTGGACACTTTGATAGAACACTTATCTTCTATCTGGTCGACCTCTTTCCTTATCCGGTCGACCATTTTGTTAATTACTGCCATCAAGTGGTCGACCTATATATTAGGTGGTCGACCATGTTGTTTCTGACGCCAACGAAATGGCCGACCGAGGTTCTATTCTGGTCGACCAAAAATACCAACTTAAACTAAATGCGGTCGACCAGGTAGTCGTGGCGGTCGACCGCAAGGCTTTCTCGTGCTGCCCAAATTAGACTATTCGGTCGACCGCCCTTAGGAATAGGTCGACCGAAAAGTGCATGTCACCGTGACATGCATGTCATAGTAGGCATACCCTAATTAGTTTATTCATCATCTTTGTGATATTTGGAAATCTTTTATGTATGATTTGTAAGTATCATTATTATTTCTTGCATTAGTGGCGATTGATTGAAATGTATTTTATCGGGTAGTCAAAGTTTAGTATTGAGTGCATTTATTGATTGTCAATTACATTGGTGTTCAGAATTGGTACAAACTTATTAATGCAAATGAGTATAGTTGTGTGATTTAAATTTTTTTATTTCTGGTAAAATATTTTTATGTTCTCTAAAATTAAGTAATCATTTCCATTGACATCAAATGTATATCACTATAATGTCATACTTATAGTTGTTGTATTATCACTATCATATTTTTCATATCATATCTTACCATTATGGTAATTTTAATTGCACATCATATCACTATCATTGGGGGTGAAAATTGGTACGGTATCGGTATCCCAATACCAAATACCGAATTTCACCCTAAAATCAATCTCAATCCCTAAATAATTTCGGCATCCCAATCCCTAAATATTTTGGTATCCCAATCGGTACTTCGGTATCCCAATCGGTATTATCGAATACAAAATTAATTACCTCTACAATTAATAATTAAATATATAAATTAGATTTGATTGTTTAATATAGGACAAAGAGACTAGGCAAAGACTCTTGAGTTTGGCTACAGCTAGGATATGAATATGGAGAATGGAGGAGAGCGGACATCTCAAATTTTTTACATTGGCAATCTTTAATTTGACGAATTGGAGGCTGAGAGAAGACTAATACTAGTGTTTGCTTTTTGGTGTTATGAAAATAACAATAGATTGGTGTTGAGGGTCGTGTAGTAGTGTATGTGAGAGTCTAGTTGAGAGGATAAAATACACACTAGCTTATATTTCGGTATTTCGGTATACACTGATCTCAATCCTGTAATCCTAATACCGAATAACAATTGAAATTGAATCTCAATCCCAATCCCAATCCCAAGAAATAATATGTGTACTCGGTAATACCAAATATAGACAAATTCGATACGGTATTCAGTATATCCCAAATACCAGTATCAAACTTCCAGCCCTAACTATCATATCATGATATTATCATTATGATAAAGTGATACTATCATGATTTGATAATGGTAAGTCATCAAATTATTTTGTTAACATAAGGTTTCATACCAACATCATATCATTTTCATATCATGATATTATAATTATATCATATTTAATTATCTTTTGATATGACAGTGGTAGGATGTCATCAAATTATTTCTATTTTTTATTCCGAGTGCTTTACCTTATTGGGTCCAAGATATGATGCATAATCATAGGGTGCACAACTCTGCAAAGATCTTAGGGGTGAGATTAAAAGATTTTTTATTTTCTACTTTTTAATTGAATTTTATCTTCTTTGTTTTAACTTGGATTTAAAAAAAAAAATGCATAGATGGAACAAGTTCGTTGTAATCTACAAAATGATATCCATTGTCAATATATTTCGAGAAAAATATTTGCACAACTCTTTACCACCCTAGTACCACTTTCATTTTTAACTCAAATTTTGAGAACTTTTTAATCATGATGAACGAGTTCATCAAGATATATTGGATTTACAAATTTTTTAGGAAAAAAATTCAGGACCATATATATCATTTTGGTATAAGACGGTAACTGGTAGTACATGGTGATAAAAAGTGGTAAATGGCTATTTGTATATTCCTAATATTATATATACAAACATTCTACACTCTGATATATTCATAGCAACCATGATACACTTTCATATGATTGTGGTATAATTTTAAGCGCTACAAAACATTATCACATGGTATGTACTGATAATAAATGTCTATTTTTTTTCTAAAATTTATCAGAGTGAATGTCATTTTGAAGTGTAAAAAAAATCTGATTTTAAATTACAATTCTAAACTAGAAAAAAAAATAGAATGTTAAATTAGTTGAGTAAAAAATTAGATGTCTTCCATAAATGATAAATGTAGGATTATGGCCTTAGGTTGTTGATGCTATCCGCTCCCAGTTTATTGTCCACATTTGGCTCGATCCATGATGTGAGGCCAACATCTAGGATGCCATTACAATTTACAGGAGTGCATTTAGGCGCGTCTTGCATTGCCAGTAAAACAGTCCCATTAACTTCTTGGGGTGTGCTTCTAACAAAGTAGCTAAAACCTTCCTTTCAATCACTTCAAGTTCACCACAGGATCATGAGAAAGTGAGTCCCGTAGTATGAGAGCAGACCCGGGCATACAATCATCAAATGTGATTCAAGAAACGATCATAGCAGACGGACCAACAAAACAGTAACAAAGCTAGGGCATATCTGCTAAAGAAAACTCACCATTAAGCTAGCTTGAGCTCCAGACCGAACCGCTGGCAACGCAGTATCATACCTGTTAACATTTACAGCTCCAGCATGGGAAATTGAATGACATGCGCTAGAACATATAAATACATCACGTACAGGACCTATTCCCACTAGCCACTCCAGAACAGAGCTGAACCTCTTAATTCACATACTACATGCATGTAACTCCAGGCTCAAGATAGAGAAAGATGAGCAGAAAAGCAAAGCAGTTTGAGCACATCGCCCATCCTCTGTCTGTACCAAAGTATGATCATAATCACATCATCTGATTAACACCAAATTTTCCCTGGCAACACGCAGACAGTTCCACCATATAATACTGTGCTAAATGAAAACAAATAGCAGTAAACCAACTAGAAGCTATATATCATCAAAAAGTCAGTATGCAAATTAGGACTTCACGAAAAATAATGCAAAAAGAACTCTGCTGGCCTTAGATTCTCATTTATATACAGAACATCTCTTAACCGTGCACTCCAAAAGCAAAATCAAAGAGTGTGGGAAAGAACACTTATTAGTAAATCCTGTATGGGCTATATGAACAGAGAGTAAAAATCATATGGAAACTTGAGGCAAGTGAGAAAGAGCATGGTAGTACACATGATCAAGCTATGTTTTTCTTCCTTTTCTTTCATGTTTTTATTTTATTTTATTTTATACTAGAGGGTGCAAATTTCATATAATACATGCAACTACTGTGACTACCTTCCCCGACAGGCAAGCCCTATCTATCAGCGAAGCGTCCAAAAAGGAGCAGCTAGGTATTCACACGGTGCCCTTTCAGGCAGAAGCTGCTCGGTTTTTGGGATCACAGGAGGTTTTACAGTTTGTTCCTTGTCCTGGAACGGAAATGAAAGAGAAAGAGAAAGGGAAGCAGACACACCGTCCTCCTGCTCTTTGTCCTCCAATACTTTCTCAACTGCTGGTGGCGATGGCAGTAGCTTGTTCTTGTCAGTAGTATTCTTGGCCACCATTCCAACAATGAAGGGCATAATTCCCGGTGGTTTTGTCTCACCCCCCAAAGCAAGATCAAGATTCGGCGAAGAAGATTGGTCCTCACGTCTTGATGCTGAGGACCCTCCCTTCCAGAGAATGGTGTGTGAATCCACAGGAAAGAAGTACCTTTCAGCAGCTGCTTTCGACGTATTAACATCTCTCTTAGAATTGCAGTCTCTTGAACTGTCATACCCATTAGGTCCTTCATCACTTAATTTTGGCTTCTTAGCTCGGTCAGCCAACCCAGTGTGAACCACATTCCAAGGCATGTCTTGACCAACTGTGCTATCAGGACTTTCGGGAGGCGGCATCTCAGAAAGATCCAAGAGCGGCCTTTTTCTAATATTAGACAAGAAATCTCCTTCCGAAGTTTCTATGTCCATGTCCGTAATGTCTTCGTTCAAGTCTCTGATAACAGTAAATCCACCCCTATTGACACTGTCTGTTCTGCTAACTGCTGGCTCTTGAACAATGCTGCCTCTCACTCCTAAATTTTGATTTTCAACCAGAACATTCTTGAGTGCAGACACGTCATCTTGGACATCTGAAGAGTCTGTATGCTTATGTGCCTCCTGCTTGTAACAACTCGTGGACTCAGCAACCACAGCAGATGGTTTTCCCTCATCTGTATCCACTCTGCACTCTGGATCACCAATATCTACCTGCAAATAAAATTGACGTTTTGTACAAATCAAGGTCCATGGTATTTACACAATGAAACAAGCTGCCCAGGTATAGAAAGACAAGAAGTGGGAGCAAAGCTCATTTTTACGGTTTGAGAAAAGCTTATCTGTTCTCTAAAACACAAGATTCAGATAGGCATGACTTGCAGTTTTTGTACATGAAAACTATATTTTTATAGGTGAAGACTGTGATAAGCAGAAAAATGAGCATATACCATGGCTGCCTAGTGGACAGATAGATTTCATCATCACATTTTAAATTTCAATCTCTAAAATTAGTCTGACAAAAAACAAATTAACTAAATGTCGACTGTTTAGCTGATTTGTTCATTTTTGCACATCAATTTATATATATAATGGTCATATGGTGAAATTATGGAAGTGTGTAACTCACAAAATTTATGTAATACTTGAAAGGCTTATGTAAATCATAAATGATTTCAGTACAAATTGATGCATTTCTTTGTTCATCATAATACAATTAAGAATTTAAGATGGAGATTTAAGAATCAACAATGAAAATGAAAATAAATAGGAAAAGTGTATAGCATACCCCTAAAATGTCAGTGTATGGCAGGCTAACCATTTTTCTAATTATGTTTTAAAAATCAAATAATCAAAATGACAATAAATTGGGAAAGTGTATAGCACACCCCTAAAATGCCGGTGTGTGACAGGCAAACCCATTTTTATAATTACTTCACATTGCAAGATGTTCAAGGTAGTGTAGGGAAGGAAAGAAAGAAATTGTTACCAGGGTAGCACTAGCGCTGGTAGATTCTAGATTTGAGGTCGTACTGCATGTCGTTCCATTTAAATCAAGTCTACAATCCGGCTGCTCTGACTTAACAGCAAAGTCAACCTTTCTTTCATTTATGACCCCATTTTCCGATAAGCATGTATTCTTCTCCAAATCACTTGATGAAACATCCATATTGCAGCAATCATCAAATGCAGAAGTCTCATTATCTATGTATTCAGGCAAACACCTCGCGACAGATAACGCATTAGACGCGGGCATTTCTTCATCTTGAACTACCAAATTCAAACTGGGGATAACTGGCTTTCTTAAGCAATCATAAGAACTTGACCGCCTTCCCTTGAACACGCCCCACAGGAAAAACATCATGTTCCAACCTGTCATAGATAAGAAGGCCTCAGCATTCTTCCTCAACCAAGATGAGAACAATACTTCGCCATGGTCCCACCCATGACTTGCAACTAAAACATGAGGCACAACTAATTGCAAGAAAAAATATTATACTTGGCACCTAAATTAACAGCAAAATACATATGACTCAAGAGGAATAAACCACCAAGTACCTACTAGAAGCCTTATGTACAACAGAAAAGCTTTTAGTGAGCCCATAACCTTGTGATATCCATGATGTTAAGTCTTAGATGTGAATTTGCACAAGGCTAAGCATTTTAAAATTATACTTAACATGAAACATACTCTGGACTTCACAAGTTATCTGGCCAATAACACAGCAGGAGTACATGCAAAAAATGTTACAGTAACAATTACGAAAAGGTAAATTCGGAAAATGAAACAATTGCAAAAGAAGATTGGGAAGTAATATAAGAATAACGATGAGGCATGAGCTAAGAAACAGGGAACCAAGCTAAAACATACAAGTTATCTGGCCATTAACATAGCAGGAGTACATGCATAAAATGTTACAGTAACAATTACAAAAAGGTACATTCGGAAAATAAAACAATTGCCAAAGAATATTGGGAAGTAATATAAGAATAACGATGAGGCATGAGCTAAGAAACAGGGAACCAAGCTAAAACATACAAGTTATCTGGCCATTAACACAGCAGGAGTACTTGCAAAAACTGTTACAGTAACAATTACGAAAAGGTAAATTCGGAAAATTAAACAATTGCAAAAGAAGATTGGGAAGTAATATAAGAATAATGATGAGGCATGCGCTAAGAAACAGGGAACCAAGCTAAAACATACACCAATGAGAAATTGAAGACTAAGTCAACGGTAACAGGGAGCACAATACAAAAGTTTTACAGGAGGATGGTTGATTTTAGATGGCTATCTTTATTACTTATCTATAATCACCAATGAATTGGGGGATAAATTCACTGCAGCAGATAATATCGCAGCAAACTTTATAACAAGCAAATATCAAACATCATGTAAGCATATGGAGATGGTGGTCGTGGCAACAATGCTGGAGTTATGAGACTAAGACAGCGCAAGTAATTCTTACGTTGAGAATCCTCAGGTAACTGAGTGGATGGGAATATCAAGAGTTCAACATCATCAAAGTATCCTTTGAAGGCCAAATCTCTTTTCATAGCATTGTCCAATAATCCCTTGTAGTGCTTCTTGTAACTGCATTGAACAATGGCAAAATATTAACACCAAGATATGACAGAGTAGCACATCTCCAAGACATGGACCTCTATACAAAAATATTTCTTGATTCAGATATTTACCTTTCGAGGTCCTTAGCAAAAAAGTACAGAGCAATGTTATTTTCAGTTGCACCATTTTCATGGAACTGACTAGGCCACGTGCTTGACCGGGATACTTCGTCCAGGCTAATATTGAGAGGAAACTTGTTCACCACTTCAAGTACTTTGGGCGATGCATAGGTTGACAAATGCGCTTGAATGCCTCCGTGAATATTTGTGATTTTCCCGCCCCTGTGCACCTCAAAGGTACCCCTGCATGAAAGTATTGTAAGCAAATCTAGACCACTTCTTTAACCAGAAACCGAAACAATGAGCATCAGTATGCATTAAGTAGTGAACTTACTGCCAAATAAAGTCATGCTCTGGGATTGGAGACAACTTCTCAAGTGCGCTAGCAGAAGAAATAAGACCAGATCTCCAAGTGTAAGAGTTGGTCAAATCTGAGTCCGCTCTCAAAGGAAAAGCAGCAGTAGCAGAGTGTGTATTAGATATCTTAGCACTTCCATAATTAGCTTGCTTTGTGGAGTCCTTGGACAAAGGCCCAAGAGTGGGTTTCTCTTCGTGTGATCGTTCGTTGAAGGTGGCTAATTTTGTCTTATTTGACCCTGAAAACTTAGCCTGAGGACTCAAATGACAGTTCATATCCGCATTTGATGAGGACAACCCGTCAGATTGATCACTTCCATGCTTCTTTCTATATATCCCAGGCCTTTTACGCATGGCAGCCTCAATTGCAGCTTTTAATTTACTGTCTCTATTAGTCTCATCACCAACACTTTTTGTAGCTGGTGTATCACTAATAGGAGCACGAGGACTACTGGATGTACAATTTTCCACAGAATGACCAGCTTCCTTGCACTTTTGACAAGTACCTGTTTCTTTTGGTGTTGCACCAGCAGGCCTCATACGACCGGAGCTGTCTCTAGTTTTCTCACTCTGGCTTGATGACTCCCGTGAGCACAGCAGGCCATCGTGTGAGTTATCATCAACAGCATTCAATGATTTATCTGCAGTCAAAGAAGTACTTGGTGAGGGTTCATCCTTAGGGCTAACTTGATTTAATTTCCTTTCAATGGAAATTCCATGAATAGAAGAGGCTCGAACTCCATCAGTTAACAACCTTAAATACGTCAACTTCTTTAAGAATAAAAAGCTTAACAACCAAACTTGTGAGAGATTAGATTTTGAAAGAAGCTAACTCTATATTGAGGCAGTGGAATAATACCAGATGTAACAGGCGCATCCCCATCTTTCCGGGCAACGCCAGCACTTGATCTAGGTAAGCTACTGAATTTTCCATCAGTTGCAGCACCCTTCAACTCTCTGTTGTTGACCGCTGATGATAATGGAACACTGTCACTACGAGGAGTAAGCTTCTGCTCAAGCTTTGGTGTAGTGACTTTCGAACTTGATGCCACCATACCACGGGATGGGCGATCCAACTTCGGCAAATTTCTTCTTTCAAATGCATTATGTTCTCGTGCTTGTCTTACCCCTTTAACATCCGGACCATGTGCAATTTTTGATGAGAGCATTTTCACTTTGGACTCAGTACGGCCAGAGCCTGTATGTTTGAATGACATAGATTTGCTCATCATTCGGCCTGGACCATCCTTACTATCCAGCAAGGAACTCTCTCTGCACATCTTGTGCTTTTGTTGTACTTCATCAACAAGCTTCACTTTTGGCTTGGAACTATTAGTGCTGAAGGAATTGGACTTAAGTAAGGCACCTATACAAAGAAACAATGAAGAAACCGTGTCAAAAGCTGCAAGAAACACATGTTCATGAAAATCCTTGTAATGAGGAAAATTAAAGTACCCATTTCAATAAAAATCATCAGACTTGAATGGGATGCAACAGATACACAAAACAGTGGTACTATTAATTTCGGTGTGCAAGTTTAACTTGAGAATTCTAGTTCCCTTCTTACACTCTGCACGTACTTTTGCATGTAATATTATGCGGGCCATATGAGGAAGAAACCTAAGCGGTAATCTTCCAGGGCATTTGAAAAGATTGTCAACAGAACATGATGTAACAACCCCCAGACACGCCTGGCTTAGTCTTCTAGAAGAAAAACATAACTGATTGACATTATGACAGATTAGGATCTCCTCAAATTCCTACAAAATGAAGTGTTATTCAATATCATACAAGATTATCCCCATTTTCTACACTCAACAAAGCCTAAACCTAACATTGTGTATGCACAGTTGCACAGCACGACTGAAAGCAACCACAAATGTGGCGGCCTTCCCTGCAGAGCCACCGTAGCAATCATCCATTAAAAAGAACAATACAGTAGAGTGCTGTAACAGATCCTTAAGAGCTATTTCCTCCCCTCATTACTAATACTTTTCTCATGGAATTCCTTTCATTCCATACATCTAATTCCCATCTAGACATAAGTTTATGTCCTTAAGACAAACTCCAAGCCAAAGGTCAAGAGCAAATAAATTTTCTGTCCAGTGGCAAATGTGATCAATGAAGTGCAAGAATTATATGGAAAAGAATACAACACGGTTTGTCAGCAAGAAAATTAGTGAAGTTTTTTACCCTTGGGACTTTGAAGTCGTGGAGCAGTATTAGGAAACCGAGTGCTTTCAGGATCATTAATAGAGTGATTGCTTGGCTTTACTTTCTCCTTGTCCAAACTCCTGGAAGAACTGTTATAATGCAGTGTAGCCACTCTCTTAGGGCTGGATGGCTTGGGTGATCCTGAACCCATGTCAATAGCCTGCCTTTTTGAACTTGAGGTCATCTCAGCAGTCTCAGAAGGCCTTTTCTTAAAGCTTTGTGAAGTTCCTTTATCTACATTCTTTTCCTCTGAATATAAGCGCAACACAAATGTCATCAAGGACCCTTTTAAAGTATTTCACACTTCAGAAGAGCCATCACTTCGGCTTTACCTTGCTTTTGTTTTTCGAGTTCTACAGCTAGGTTGCACTCTTCACATAGCCAATCGCCATCAGGAACTTCTAGGAGCATTTCCTTCATGCAATAGCTGACAAATACAAGAGTAATCTTGTGAAAAAAATGCTATATATTTGAATAAATAAAAAAACAAAGTCATTCATAAAAAAAAAAAAAACAGAGTCAGACAACAAGAAAGTACTGCACAAATTGCTTACGTGTGTTCCGCACCGTCACTGCACCTGCTACAAATTGCAAGTTTTTCCTCCTGACCTGCATCCCCACAAATATCGCATACTTTTACCTGTTCCAAAGATGTTGAATCATTTTCAGGGAAAGATATGCAAAATTTTGTTAGAGGGGAACAAATACAATTGCACGGCCTTCATTGTAACTTCAATCAATCCCAATAATAGAGAAGATAAAAGCTGAAAGAAACCTCCTTCAATCCCTGCATTTACTTCGCCTTCTTCAGCAACGACACACCCAATGAATAAAAATGAAAAAGACAGGTCAAAGACAAATGCCCCAACCCTTTTAGACTTCAGGACATTAAGATAAATCAATCAACTTCCGAAAATGAAACTGAACGATATCTTATAAGTGAGCATACTCTTCTCCAACATATGAACAACATTTACAAAACTCATTGTTAATCAACAGAAAGGATCTCCAATGTGATGTTGATCAATGTAGTACGTTGAGCATTACAAGTTACAATCATGCACATAGCACTACCACCAACCATTAGCAGCCATCCCAGGATGTATAAGAGATGGATGCTTGCAGAACTGCCTCTAGTGGATTTTAAGTCTCAACCATGCCATAGCACTACCACCAACCGTTAGCAGCAAAACCAGAATGTACAAGAGATGCACACTTGCATAACTGGCCCAAATGAATTACAAGTTAGAAAAACAGAAATAGAACTACCACAAACCATTAGCAGCAGTCCCAGGATGTGTAAGAGATGCACACTTGCATAACTTTCCGTAGTGAAAGCATATGCAAGTTTCATCATTGACCTTCAGAGTCACTGTGTTACTACACTCGCTCACTTCTCAAGCAAGCCTCAGACAGATACTCGACATCCCGCAAGTCCAAGAAACACATATAAAATTAAGCTTTGGAAAAAGAAAAAGAAAACAAGTACTGACGCTAGAGATGCACAGTGAGGCACATGAAAAGCAATGCACACTTATGCTTATAAGATGTTCAACAAGAAAACATGAATATCTCTTACATCTAGTTCTCCAATTTCTGAGTCCTCGCTCTCATTGGATTCCACGGGTGACTCTTGAACATTCGGTAATTCAACTGAGTCATCCACCTTCTGGTCTTGCCCAACCGTGGTAGAAGAATTTACACCTATTGGTTGGCGTCCACCATCATTATCAGTTTCTTCTTTGAACTCTTGACCTAGTTTACTTGAAACCTCTGAAGCGTCCCCCTGAGTTACAATCCTACTTTGTGGATTGTTAGCTGCACCATCGCTCACAGTTGTGTTACCACCGCCAAGAATATCAGGTGCAGCCTCCTTAGGCAAGCATAGACTTGTACGTTCCATAAAGAGTGCAGAAGCTTGTCCATCAACTCTCCCAATCAGATCCCCATTCAAGTTTCCAACATTTCCATTGGGCAAAAGAGTGTTATTCTGGAAGGGAACCTTCCTGCCACCATCTGCATCAACCAGGGAACACTCTAACACATTTGAACTGCCAACTATTGCCTCTGTGAAATTTTCTAAATTGATAGAACTAACTAAAGCACCTGATAACTTCTCATCATCACATTTACCTTGGAGACTGCTCACATCAGCTTCTGTCACACAAGATATGTTGTCACCATGGCCTTCTACAGCTTTAGAATCAACAGGCTTACTTGACCCATTTCGCTTATATGCAACAAACTCTGGCTTAGGAGAAAGACAACCCTTGGAAACAGTTCCAACACGCTTCAAACTTGGGCAAGCCTCAGGCTTAACTGAGGCCCTTACATTAGCTTTATTTTCCACACTCTCAGAGAATGAATCTCCACAGGAATCAACAGTAGGCACATAACTTGCCTCACTGGTGGCATGCTGCAACATGCTGGATTTTCGACCTTTAAGGAACAGGGAATCCTCCCTGTTAACGGAATTCTGGCTTATTTCAGCTACATGGCAAGTTTCGTCAGAATATTCATCACCCTTGGATCCCATACAGGCTAGCTTCCGATGCATACAAGATGAACAAGGAGTGGAGCACACGTTACAGGTTCCAGATTCCACTCTGGTATGAGCCTTCGAACGCATTGATTGGTTTTCTGTGCTTTCCTCAGCCTGTGATGATACTGATCAAACCTGGGGAAAACAAAACGAAAATAAAAAAGTTGAATAATACCACCTTAAACAGAACACATCTTCAATGAGAGCAAATGAACAAATGGATATGTAAGAACTCAAACAAATCCAAGTGACAGAATTATTCAAGTTTATGGATTCCTATGCTTTACCACCAACAAAAATTAATATATTCAGAAAATGTAGTGCCTCATGCTTGAACATCTAAAGGAATGTGCAACTCAAGATTCCACTGAAAGTAAGAGGACTCTCAAATTAGGTTCCACTGAAACAACACAAATGCGAACCTCTAAGAAGAATAAAACTAAACCACAAGCAAGGGGAATGCCATTACTATTATGTAAGCTTCCAACTTCCAGCCAAAGAATTCTTTATGACAAGTGATCAGGTTTCGACAGTGGCACGATCAGGGATTAAAGTAGCCTCAACGACTAAATTCAGCTAACTTGATATCTATGTCGTAAATTAATAAATATTCAACTAAATTATCATTTTTGCACCAAAGAATTCCGAGGCAGCCTTCGACTGAGCATCTGGCATCCAAACCATAACCTTCTTCCAATCATAGACCCAGCCAGCTTCATCAAGTAGTTGGTTCAATTAGGAGCTTTCACAACAGCAAAATGCAGTAAACACGAAAGAGTGTAAAACGCAGAACTTTGATGAAAGGCAATGCTTCCTGAAGAGCAAGTTAAATGAAGGCAAGGTGTTTCAAGCTTAGTGATGTAAAGGAAATCACCAAATGGATCGTGGGATAAACACAATGAATCAATGGGCAGTAACAAGAATATTGGAGGACCAGAATCAGGTACATGACAGTACAAGCACACATAAATTCAGAAACAAATAAACCCCACACAAATGCTCTTTAAAGTATTTATACAAAAATCGAACATTTTAAAACAGGGGAAAGACATAAGCTTGCAACTACAGAAAGACTTAGAACAGAACTTGAGTCACCCTCCCCACTCACCCGAATCTTAATATCCTGCTTGGGTTCATCAAACTGCCGCTATGTTCAGTAACTCCTTTTCAAAACTCAAGTGACCTACAACACACATCAACAAGTCATCAATTACAAGTCTAGCTACTTAACTAGGATGATAGAACAAAGAAATAGCATTCACAATGGATTGGGAAGACAGAAAACATTGCTACAACCATAAGCACACAAAGCATAATCTGGTCCAAAGGAAGAAGAGAGTCCAGAAGCAGGTCAAAGATACAGTGGGGAACGGCAGAGAGAGACCCCATGGCAATCAGTATTAACCCCAGCCGACTGACAAATGCAAAAAACGGGTAATTTGCTGGTTACCCATTACAAGATTGGAATTTTTCAACCGAACAAACAGGGGAATAACGACTGCATTGAATTATAATCAGATTGCAACCAGGATAGCCAATGGGAACAATAAGAATTCACCAAAATACAAAACCCTAATCCCATTGACTCTTGGCACCAGTAAATCATCGCCGCCACATTGTAGAACTCTGACATCCCCCTCGAGGACACGTTCACGCGGCAGCAGGAACTCAATCGAACAACCAATTCATCGCCTCCCCTCCCCTTCTCCTTTCCTTCCGTAACGTTCCTACCCCTCCCTCTCCATCTACCTCCCTCCAATGGATTGCCAAATGAAATCACGGTGGCCAGAGAGTTCCCCCGTACCTAGGTTAAAACGATTGCCCTCTTCTTCCCTTACCTTCTCTAAATGAAACCAAAAACACTTGCCAAAGAAGAGAAAAATCAAGGCCGTACCCCGTAGACGATCTGATACATATATACAACAATAAAGACGCGGGACGCAATAAAAATACAGAGAGCACCGCAAGTAGCAATACGTACGGCGGAAGAATTATTTCAACAATGGGGGAGAAGAAAGTTATCAATCTGTCTCTCAGACAAACTCCCCCTAAATTTGCGATGTCTGAATGCAAATGATCCGAAAGGGGGAAAATCGGGGTTGTTCAAATCTTACTCTGTCATCGTCGTCGTCTTCTTCCTCGTCCTGCTAATTCAACTCTCTCTCTGGCCTTTCACTGTATAGTTTGTTTGGCGGAGCTATCTCTGTTGTTAAAAGGGGAGGGGGAAATGCAAAAGAGCAGTAAACAAAAAAAAATTATAATAATCAATCAATCACCCAAATCCATTTCTTGCGCTAGATTTTCTTTCTCTCCTTCTCTGGTCAGTCTACTCTACTCCAATTTTCTAAATTTTGTCAAATTCAGCATTGGTCTAACAAGTAGAATGGTTCAACCAATGGTACAACTGATTTGGATCAATTTATAATTTAACAAAATATGTGAAAACAATTAATATCAAATGAATTTAATCATATATAAAACATATTTGAAAATAATTACTTACGAATCATTTTATATTTAAATAAAATATGACATTTCAAATAAAATAACAAATACTCATATTTAATAAAATATTTAATGTCAAATTTTAATTTTTATACCTAAATCCAATAAATATCATCAATATTTAACTTTAACATTCATGAAATAAATAATAAAATATTTTTTTAAGTTTTCCAATTATTGACTCAAATCCATTGTCCAACCCTTAATTAAATTCGCTAAAATAATGTCATTTTGCTTTATCGTAAATCGATCATTACGATGGTGTGCATGTCGATTTCATGATCGTTACAGATTGAACCAGATTCAACCGGCTTGCATGCCACCGGCATAACAACCATGGTCTACTCTCTATTGTTAACAATTTGTATTAAAAAGAGTATTACTTACTTCTCTCTCTTCTCTTCGGTATTAAAAAGTGTATAAAAATTTGAAAGTCTAATACCAAGAAAAGGCATATATTTTAGGTTTTGTGCCAATTTTTCTTAATTTTTTTATACGACAATTGTGTCCTAAAATTTTATTTCCTTTAACTTTGACAATTAGTAGTCAACGGTCAATGTATTCTTTGATTACGTCACCTAGGGAAAGTAAAATAAAATAATACTTAGGAAAAGTATTTTTCCCACGCTATGTTGCTTTCGGTAAGGAGTGGTTCATGACTTTTATGGGGGTGGAGAATATCGTACATGATTGTGAGCTTCTCAAGTAGGGATCGTGGTGGCAAGTTGGCTCCAGTACCAAGGTTCCAATCCAGAGATCACACTTGATACCAGGGGGTCCACCGAATCAACTGCAGGTGTTGTCAAGTATCCATTCTCAAGGGGAATATGTTTCTGCGTATGTGGCCAAGATGATGCGCTATGGTCCATGAAATTTTTGCAAAGTTGCTTTCCTCTGAGGTCATAAAGGGTATATTGTCTATATTGTTGCCTAGATTACCAATGAATGATAAACTTGTTTGGCAAGAAGATCCACTAGGACAATACACTGTAAAGACAAGAAATACACTGTACCGTTTGGTCGTAAGTAGTTGAGAGACAAGAAATTGGAGGACAGAGGTGGGTTGGATGGATCATAAGTTGTGGATGGCAGTTTGGGCTTACTTGATTCCACCTATGCTTCGGTTCTTTCTGTAGCAAATATTTCGACCTATTCTCCCTATAACGGAAGGCTTTAATAAAGAAGGAGGTGGAAGTCTTGGTGAGATGTCTGGTTTGTTGCGCGAAGGGGGAAACTACGAAACATTTATTCCTTTTCCGTCCAGAGGTGTGTGCATCTGTGGGAGGCCTTAGGCTTGCGCTCTTCTATGGACGAGATGGAAAAGACAAATTTTACCATCTTCTTCTGACATTTTTTTTACAACAAAGTTCCATGGTAGATACGGTGATCCGAGTGGTGTCTTTGCTCTGGCGTATTTGAAAAGCGCGCAATTGGGTGGTGTTTGATTTCAAATAGGTCATGCTTTCAGTATTAGTGTGTCAGTACTAGTCTCAGGTGGTAGAGTAGATGGCACCCCGATTCAGGGGGCGAAGACGCAGACAAGTGTGACCAGTGGGCTCCTCACCACCAGTGCTTTTTGTAAACAGTCAGAATAATGGGGGTAGCCCATGATGTGGCTAAGAAAGTCTTTCTTTGTCTCAAGTCTCTTTGGGTAGTTTTAAATTTTGCACTTGGCTCCGTACGGCGTGGTAAACGTTCTATGTTTTTATTCTTGGTAATACAAGCAATCTTTGATTAAAAAACAAACAAATTACCAAAAAAAAAAACAACAACACCTCAACCCTAGCCTCTCACTTCTCTAGCAAAATTCTCTCCTCTCTCATCCATTTACCAATCCTTCCGATGAATCGGATCACCTTCATCCTTCACTAGTGGCGTAGCCAGGAATTTTGTTAAGGTGGGTCGAACAACGGTATAGATCTTTGTGAATGGTTAGCATCAAACGACAGTCCATAACCCAACTCACATGGTGGGGAATGTCATCACGTTATACGTAGCGTTTTTTAGAAACAAAATGAGGTTTTTTAGCGTTAAACATATGGTGAATATACTAGGGAACGACAAGCGGCTAACGGACAAACTGAGCAGCTAGAAGTTGACGGTTGACAGGATTATTAGATTGAGGATGTGGTTGGTGGAAATTCTGGAATCGTGGTCTATGAGTAGTAGACAATAGATTGGTGATAATTTGGGGGAGATCGTAATTAGGAATTGTGATAGGTAATAAAACACAGGTGAAGTCGTGTTTCTTGGTTTGATGCAAAAGATACTATTGAATAGAGAAATTAGATGTTAAAACATAAAAATAAAATGACTTGAAATTTAACATTGTTAATAAGTTATAGTGAAAGGGAGGTTGACAGTTCGATAACCCTTATAAAAGTTATATAGGTTTACTTTTATTATGGTTAGATACTACTTTAAGGCTATTCTTAATAATTTTTAGGGTAAATACAATATATTATCCATAACTATTAGGTAGCGGGGAATTATAGCCACAATTATCGAAATACAAATTATTAGCCATAACTATTGTTGTGGGTCAAGATTTGGCTAACAGGCCGTTACTGTTTTCAAATTTTTAACGTAGAAGGTCATGTCAGCATCGTAAAAAATATGATATGATGACTGCCACGTGGGAGCCAGCTCACCATCGTAAAAGTTTAGTCATCATTACTAACGGAAGTGTTAACGAAAACTTAACGATTGGCTAATAATTTGTATTTCGATAGTTGTGGTTATAATTTCCCGCTGCTTGATAGTTATGGCTAATATATTGTATTTGCCCTAATTTTTATTTGTGTGTTGGAAAGACAAGGTTGTGCAGTCGACCCACCTTGGTCCAACGTGGCTCCGCCACTGACCTTCACTCTCTTCTCAATCTTCTGGGTCGTCATAAGAAAACCACACCGACGTAATTCAGTTCTCCCTCTCCCTCTTTATCTCTCTCTATCTCTGTCATGATTGTTGTCAGCCGTCGCAACCACGCCGTCACGACCTCCTCTCTATCCGGAACGACCAGCAACAGACTCCCCGAGCCATCACTGACAATAATGTCACTGCCGCTGATGATAACATCACCGCCACCCACTCCCTCCTCTCTGTTGTGGCGTTCACCCCTTCTTGCTAAAATTCTTTCATTGAGTCCACAATTCGAACTGCCGGACTCCATGGTTTCCAAGGGCTTTACCCTCTCTTGGATCTAACCGTTACTAAATGAATTTCATATCTGCCATCAATTCTGAGTCATAAAGCTCAAACAATTTGAAGTTAACCCTAACCATGGTGGTTCATCGCTCCGTAAATTTGGATCCCTCAGCTACCCAGTTCAATCCATGGAGAGGAAATGACTCAACATATGTTGGAGTCAGAAAATTGATCTAGGTTGGGTTTTCGGCGACGAAACTAGTTAAGGGATTGGCGTACCATGATTACGACTAGAAGTTTGTGTATCCTCACAGCAAATAACTGGGACCTCTATCAGTGGTACTGGACACGACAATCTTCGATGATACAACTACAAGCATTTCACGTCTATGTCAACATATAACTCAAGTAAATGAGATAGGATAAGAAAAGGGTGGTGAGAGGACACGTATGATATAGGTTTATTTGTATTTTTCTAGTTTAATTTTAATTTTATTTGATTAATAATATTATATATCACACGTGGCACCTATGTGGCAGACACATTGATGCCATGTCATGTGAACTCAAACTATCATTTGGACAACCATTAAATCTAACTGTCAACTTCAATGAAATATAGGGGTATAAATGACGCAGACTTTAAAAGTATATAGCATAATTGTCATATCGAAAACATACGTACAAGGCGTGTTTCATATTTTCATCTATATTTTGTTATTTTCAATGATGTAGCGTTGTTACTTCTCTTTATATTTATTATATCTCTTTATTATCTGAGATTTGTCACATAGGAGGACCGCCGCATTTAGCTTGGGTTTGGTCAGGATTAATGATAATGAGAGATAATAGGAGTCACAACTTCATCACTAGTTTGGAGATCATATTCATGATGATCTTATCTTTTATTGGCAAAAAATTTCCAACTTCAAATATTATACATGTTTTTTCATTGATTTTGTCTTTCAAGTATCCAAATGATTTAGCCATATATTATGAGCTCCTAACATTTCTTTCAACCTAGCGATAACAAATTTACGTAGTGGATTCAAAGTATCATATGTGAAGTCGAATGAGAGTCAATTTTCAACTTATTTCTCCATTTGATGAATGTATAACTCAACAAACTTTATAGTTCAATATTCTGGAGGTAGTAGACTGCCCAATCAATCATACATTCGTTCCCATGTTGATACGTATAACCCATGTCCATCATTCAAATTATGATTGACTTGTCATCCATAGAACTAAATCCAAAAAATACCATTGTAGATCTTTATGCACTCTCAAAAAATACCATTGGATATACTTTCCTTATTTGACATAACAACATTAGAACATTCACATGTCTTCAAAGGAGGTTTAAGAGTGAAACATTCACATGTTTAGTAACTAAACACCTAAAAAAGAAACATCCTTTAGATAAAAAAAAAGGGAAGATAATTGCATTTCATGAGCATATAATCAAAGTGTAGTTGCAGTCCTATACAATCGGCCTATAAACGTTTGGTTCTATATTACCTTTAACGTTTTATGAATGATATCAAAATTAGAACATTGACATAACAACAT